ATACTGATAATATTAATCAGAGAATATATACAATATTATCAAAAAGAATCCACCTTAATAACAAACCATCTTCATTTCTAAATCCTGTTTTCTTTATAGATGATTAATATTATTAATTAAGTGTATACAACTAGGTTAATTCATCTAAGCCTTTTTTCTAACAGTCTATTAATGTTATCTTGAATATTTAACGAAATAATCCAATCAATAACCTGAAACTAAAAATTCCAGATAGATCTTTTTTCACAAATAGTAAACGTTCTTAAGTGATCAACTAATTTTTCAAACATAAACAAACAACCAAACGGAAAATTCAATTTATCATTATATGAGTATATTTTCTAGAAAACTGATAATGAAAAATAAAAAAATAAAACACAACTATTTACAGTGTTTCTATTGATCATTTCATATATGAAGTAACAATTTTTTAAACAAACGTTTAAACAAGTTTCCCCTATCATCCCCCTTCATATACATCTATTCATCATAAGCTGAATTCAATTAATTGAATCAATATGCATACACTTGACATTTTACTACTACTACTACTACTACTACTACTACTACTACACCACTACTACTATTACTCCTAATACTATTACTATTACTAATAATAATAACGATGTATAGCACAATATGGTTTTATTTTTACAAGGAATAGATCTGATATTACTCTAATGTACATATACTTTGTATGTTTCCAGACTAATTGTCTCATACAATAGAAATAAGATATTTTTATTAAAAAAAAACTGACCTTTACAAATGACAAAATTGTCATTGACACACATAGAAAACACTATAAACAATCATTTAACCTTCTATTCTTTTAAAAAAAAAGTAGAATAAAACACAATATCTATTTAGAGATAATTAAATCAGTCAAAACAGTATACTTGTTGTCATTCATAGGTTATAGAATATATATATTATATGTATAAATGTGTATACGTTTATCTCAGTGAGTAATTAGCATACTTGTCTTATGTAAAACAATCGGTATTATCAGAGAATGACACTATTGATAAGTGAACTAAAAACTCTATGCATTCTATGTATATTTAATAGTGAATTGTAAGAAGTGTTTTATATAGATATAGATCAGTAGATGATGATTTATAAGAAAACACCAATGAAATAACCATTCACATCCGTTTTATACTGATTTATTGTTGTTTTTAAAATTTATGATGAAAAACAAGGATGAGCAGATTATTTAATAGTAAATTATCGAATTAATTAACATATTTTCTTTTTGAGTGAGCATCTCCCGAAATGAGATTGTAATTGAATTACAAATTATTTATTTAAAGACAAGATATTCATTGCAAAATATAACAATTATAGATGAACATTACTAAAAAAGTTCCAAAATAGGTCGAAAGAACTATTCAGGACATATTGATTCCTTATAATCTCTCAGATAATATTAGTCCATAATGAAAGTAATTTTCAGAATATAGTTCAAACTTTTTACCTATGAAATTTATAAGGTCAATAATCAATCATTGCTAATAGTTGAGTGAATTCAATCATTCGGATTTTATAGTATAATCGTCATCAGGGTATTTAGTCTAATATTACCATGTGATTTGTGGGCTGAATAACTTCAGATAGAAATTATTGAACTTCAGTTTCATCTTGACTGTCTCCTATCGATAAGCAATACACGTAACCTACATAATACTTATGTATTTTTTTAGAAGTTAGAACCTATATTACAAACGTTACCATAGGATATCCTATGGCACTTACAAAGTGAATAAATTTATATACCCTTAAGTCATATAAGCAGTGTTTGAACAGAGTTGATTGACTAAATAAATGATTTCAGTTTCAGATAAACGGTTTTATCTTATTGTTTGTAATACTACTCACAGATTTGTATATTGAGTATGTAATTTCTCTGAATTATAATCATCTTCATTACTAGCAATACCATTAATTATGTAAGTATTGAGTCACCAAATCAGCTGTAAACAATATAAGGTTTGAAATGAAAGCCGTTTTTCTCTAAACAGTTTTTCGTTTAAATAAAAAGGAGTATACATTTTGTTCTCTTTCTTGTAGACTAATAAATAATCAGCTATTTCTTCAAATGTTTTAACGGAATCAAAGAAAAAGTGCTAAAATCCCTATCCACCATAAAATAAATATTGGTATGCACTTACGCATATGTATTATATTCACCTAAGAACACGAAATACACAGGAAACGATTCAAAAAAAGAAAACAGAAATCGGTCTATGTAGTAAATAAAACTTTTAAATTTATTGCAACTCGAGGTTTTTCATTGAAAAAAAAAGACGGATGTGGTAGGTAGTTAATTTTTTTGGGGACTAATGACGACAATCAATGAAAGAAATAACGACATTTACTCTGTATCATTTTTAATGAAACAAACAAACAGATTGATTAAGTCTTTTATATGTCCATAATAATATATGTCAGTGCTACTATATCTGAGAACCTAGTTATGAATAGAAAGATATCTGGTAACAGAATGGAATTACTATATAAGATGATCATTTAATTGACCGGAAAAAGGAAACAATTACATTATCACTGATTTGTGCTTTAATTATTTCATAAAAGTTTTTTTTTCTTTCTATTATTTAAAACGGAAGAAAGTTTTAGACAGAGCAGTATGTGAGATGACATTAGAAAACAATTTACTCTATGTCTGTTGTTTCGATTTATTCTGGAATGATACAGTCATGAAGGAAATTTGCCTTGGACCAAATAAAATGAATTGTTATTCAGACAAAAAGAAGATTGGTTCTATTCGATAAATATTTTTTAATTATTACTTAACATCAATAACTCGTTGTACATACATACATATTAGACAAAAAAAGAACTATTACGTAAACTTGTATATATGTTTTAATACTTAAATATATACACTGACCTAAAATGACGATGAAAGGTTTGAACGGAAAGTGGATATATAACTAGTGCTTTCAACTCGTTCACTCCCACTCTCATATGTTCCTCTCAAAAATTATAGCCTAAGGCCAAATAATTAAATAAATAAATAAAATGAAAATGTTAACAGCAATTAGAGAAGTAAAGAAAGAATAAAAAAAGAGAGTATAACTAGTATTACTACATACATCAGATTAAAATAAGTAGATTCCAGTGTGTATTGAATCAATGTTAACTACAGAAATTGAAGTTCAAAGTTGATTAACACTAAGTTATAAGATAAAGTTATGATCTTAAAAAAAAATAAACATGTCTATATTCAAAATTGAGATGGCAGAGAAGATTCGTAACTCAGTTTGTCTACAAGACAAGCTGTGAATCATATGTGGAGAAATTCGAATACTTCATTTCTACGTGAAGTTTGTGCTGATGATCTCGTTTAGAAGAATGATGAAAACTTCACGACCAAACCATCCAGCTTAGAGAACAAAATTCCATCAAAATTATATTCGAAATTTTTCAACCAATGATGAATCTATCAAAGTTTTGTTGATTATCACCAATTATTAACATTTAAATTGAGTGTAATATATAGATGAGTGATTTTACTTATGGACATGAACTGTAATATTTTATCAAAACATTACAGTTTGTCTTATGAAATACTCGTATATAATTATTATTATCTCACAATTGAGTTGTATGTGTATTTAGTGAAAAGTATGTTATATAACTCAATTGGATTCTACATGTTACATAATGAGTTGTTTATAGGTATCGTTACCAAGTTTTGACTTGATAATTTCGTATAAACGGTTGTTTGGTTGTACTAATTAAACTTGGATTGATTTTGTCATTTATTCTCTGAAGAAGCGGCTTACACCGAGTCACGAAACGTCAGAAAATCTAATTTTTCTACTCATTGGTATATTACAAATATTTATTATAATGAGTTATTTGTTTATAAAATAATATTTACGGTAGAGGGGTTTTTATGACGAACTGATATCAATTGAGATATCACTGTAAGTCTTAAAGTATTCTCTATTTCTTCATAGTACAAGGTTCTTTAGAAATAAAGATTCACAACTGTATCAGGAATCAAACCTTAAACGTAGAGATGTGGTAGTGAGTGATTAACACTTAGACTATTGATTCACATTCGTAACTTCACATAGTTCTTAATTTAAAATGAACAATCATCCAGTACCACTGTTTTTGATCACCTCACTCACAACTTAGCTGAATATCACCAGTTACAAGTTAAAATAATTTTCATACAACTTCTGAAAAGAAATCTGTGATAAGCTCTTTGGATTTAGCTAAAATATCCCAATTAGAAGTAAGAACTAATTTTTTTAGGTTGTGTTTAGTGAATAACTAATCTGAAAGCTCTTTCTTATTGTTATAAATCGTAAGTCACAAGTTTCAATCTTGATAAACTTGAGAAGATTACGTTAGATCTTCTTTGATTGTCACAAACTGTTAACAACTAAAGAACTGTTAAAAATCACATAGTGATATTGTACAATTATTTTGTTCTATTTTAAAACTCTGCATCAATAAACACATTTGATTCTGTGTAGATCATATAGATGATTCTCGCGGAAACTCTACGGAAGTTATATATTTCAGTTGATAACATCAAAGTAGTATATAGTTGAAGTGAGTAACTACTGAGTAGTTACTATTGTGATGCTAGTCTAGACCATAATGTTTATCAGATTTCATCAATGAAGTTCCATTTCATTAATCAATCAATATAAAAATATAAGTGCCAAAGGTAGTTTGTCAGTGCCTAGGTTGTTCAAAGATAACGTCTCTGACTGAGACTGGGAAAAGTAGATTTGATTATCACTGGTAAAGTTAATTCCTTCAAGATTTCAAATACAATTTGGTAACTATTTCCGGTTATTATGAAAACTAAACGATTCCTTTCAACTATCTTCATCTACCTAACATTAGATTCATATATTTCTAATCAATAATTCGTCTTAAGTTCTTATTCATAAAGCATTTCATGATTATTATTGTTATCATTATCTTCTCTTATAAATTTTTATTATCAGGAATAAATTTTAAATCTGATACGAAACAATATATCGAATTAGATGATAAATTAATGAATTCTACTATAAATGGAACAAATGATCCGAATATGAAATATTCATCATCATTATTTTCAATGACAGGAACAGCGGCTACAGTAGAATTTACACCATTATCATCGACAACCATATCAACAACAATAACACCATCATCATTATCTTCATCAAAATTATCACAATGTGTTGGTTGTGGTTTAATAATTTACGATCCATTTATGTTAAATGTTCAACCAAATTTGAAATGGCATATACGTTGTTTAAATTGTTCAAAATGTTTACGTTCATTAATGAATGATTCAACTTGTTTTGTACGTGATTGTAAAGCATATTGTAGAGAAGATTATTTTAAGTAAGTGTATAGTACTAAAATATTATGTTGAAAATTAAAATTATTTTATTATTATTTTACAAATGTTTTAATCATAATGAAAATAAGTTCAATCAGAAGTCATTAAAACTAAAGAAAGAATATACAACTGTTCACAACTTGTTATCAATCCTAAGCTTACAACTTGGGTCATTTTCTTTCTCTCTCTCTCTCTCTCGCTCGTGTGATTAAATAATCATTTTACTCCGTGTGGAATATATGGATCGTAACGAGGAATGAATTCTACAAAACAATTTTTGTCCTACGTCGAATATGTCGGAGGGATAATAGCTGCATTCTAGTTGTGATATTCACATCGGAACTCGAATCCATTATCTTTCAATTCAAATATCCAATGTATTGTCCAGTGAACTATAGAGCCTTGATAGCCATTAATTTATTCAACGGTTATTACGTCTAAATCCTTATCAGTTTGAACATATACACAAATACTAGCAAAGAATAATCAAAATTCAATCTAAAAAAACTAACTATAGTTTAATTCAAAACCATTTTCATAATTATAAAAACTTTAATAATTATTATCTTCATCGCTATAATATTTGTGCAACAGTCCTACGTTGAATCATCTTAGTTTCCATTTATTATAACTTGATCCTAGTAACCAGTGTGCTTGATTTCTCCTAGAGATAAAATGACTAGAGTAGGATTTTTTTGAAAATACAATACCATCAAATAGCTTGAATTTAACAAGGTAAACATGTAAACAAAATATACATGTAATACATGCGATAATATTCAAACATTTTTAACATAAACTAATCTCTGTTGACATGAACTAATGAATAGATCATTTTATGAATGGTTTATATCATTAAAGGAATAAGAGATAGGAGATCGATAGACATATCATAGAAATATTCTGATGTAATCATCAGCATCCTTAAATAATAATTATATGATGATAATGAGTAGGAGGAGGAGGAGAGGGGGGAGAAGAAGACGACAGGTTTCTATTGAATTCAGTCCATGTTGTGTATGTTAATCAGATCTATTATAATATTATATTATTTTATTCGGTTATTAAAACAAGTTCTTTGACTGATTTAAACATTATATTAATCTTCTATTAAATTCAGTTGCTAACTTCATTATTATGAATATAGATGACTTAAAACAAGTTTATACATATTTATTAAAATTTCTTACATCATTTCAATTAGATAATAAATAAAGATAAACAAATTTATTTACTGATCAAATATAGAATATTTAAATATTAAAATTAATTTTCTTAGAAGTTCTCACATCACGCAATTGGGTATATTTATGTAGTTAGAAAAATTGCTTATGGTAAATGTATTTACAAGGATACAGGATATACAGACCCCTATAATAATAATAAGTTTGTGATCTGTGAAGAAAATTCATAAAATAGCAATAACTAGTACATAGTACAATGTCTAGTTCCCCCCCCCGAATGAAGAGACAAGTGAAAAAGACATTCTATCAAGTTTTATTTTTCATGTCATTGGTAACATAATGAATATTAAGTAGCACGAGACTTTTATGTTCAGAATAAATTTCTATTCTTTATGTCATTTTGAACCCGTATAATCAATCAATGATTGATAGATTATAATCAATTTTAGAAGGATTGAGAGATTTTTTACTTAGAGACAGGTAACTGTTTATTAATATAATGTCATGGTTATGAAAACGACATTTCCATGGAAGTATATCTTATAGTTGACTTAAAAAAATGAAGTAGTTTTGTGAAGACTGTTTGAAACGTAATTTGAATGTAGCTTTTTAAACTCAACAACTGATACCAATTGAAGAATCATTTAAAATCAACGAAAGGTATATATCTGTTTCATATGAGTATAAGACTTATCAACAGAGTACAAGTACAAAATCTTATAGACAGAATAGTGTTATTCACACACAAAGAGCTAGTTCATTTTGTTGTATAATCTATCATTTGAAAGTTTGTTTAAATAGAAATGATACTCTGCAGTTGCCTGAATGAGGTTCAGAACTATGAAGACTAATTAAAATTGGATGCTTTATTCACAAAACCATCTTAAGATCCTCATATTTTGTTATCCCTGACCTGCCGTCTCAGTGATGGCGTTACTGACAATATCTCATCAAAAATAAAATGTTGTGACCTCTTCACCTTTAGTTTTTACTTGACTACAGAATATTAATTTTACTCAACAAAATACTATGAAACTTGAAGTAACAATCAAGTTTCTCTAGTTATTAGATGGCTTTACTTTCTCACAACGTTAACAAAAACTCTAGAATAAAATGTTAAGCATCTATAAAGGTTTTTTTGAAATATCTATCAGTTGTATACATTTTAGAAGATAAATAATGATTATGAAAGATTATAAATTAAGCAGTCAAATAAGTATGGAATGAGAATAGCAATTCATTGAGCTACGTATCTGGATGCTTGCTTATGACTGAATCGAAAGTTTTTTTATAAATGACAATAATAATAACCTCAGTGGTCTAGAGGTTAAGCATTCGCATACCAGATCGATAGGTCCTGGGTTCGAGTCTCGCGAGACGGGATCATGGATGTGTCAGTCAGTTAGTTGGTTACCATTTAGTATACATGACAAAGATGTATCATATCTGATAACTGTCAGTCAGCCAGTCAGCTACAACGTAGGACTAGGCACATATATGCATCAGTCCAAGTTGACATACCTCATTAACACAACAAGATGAACACCAAATTCATAGAAGTAGTTAATTCAGTGGTGGTAATATTTAAAAGAAAGATTCCATGTAAAGACATAGTACAGGAAGAAAGATTTAGTATGTAGAAAGAAAGATATGAAGCCATTTTAATCTCATAGTTTAAAGGAAGACAAATAGTGTATACACCTACGCCATTGTGATCGATTCTGAGCCATGTCACCAAGAGTCTCCAACCAATAGTTACGATAGTCACGCGGACCCCAACCAAGTATTCTGCATCTACCAACGTGGCTCAGACTAGAAGTTAGTGACTTCAAGGACTGATGCCACATTTAGGTTTGGCCGCCCCTAACTTTCTTCCAACTATCCCCAACACTAGTCACCATTGTGCGTCGTGGTAATCGACGTTCATGCATGTTACACGTGGCACATCCATCTCAGTCGATGAAGATTCACATCCTCATCAACTGATTTATCATCATTTCCTGATACCCTGCATATAACCTCTAGGAGATGCAGGCAATATTTCTAAGGCATCTGTGGTCAAATACTAGTAGCTTACGATTATCTACAACTCTTAGTGACCATGTTTCGCAGCCGTGATGTTCGACAGCATGAACTGCCGTGTAGTATACTCGTTCCTTAATTGATAGACGTATATCTCGCCTTCGCCATAGGTGACGTAAGTTGGCAAAAGCTAAATGAGCTTTTCAAATCCGTGCTGAGATTTCATCAGATACCAACCCATTAAGGCTGTTAAGGAGTCTCACACTAGGATGAAACGGCCATCCAGTACTTCCAATTTTTTCATAGTGGTCTAGCTTCAATTCACTCATGAATTCAATGATTAAACAATCACCATTATTGAAAAATCATTATAATCAGGATAATAAACTTTTCAAAACTTAAAATGAAGTTCCACAAGTAAATCATGAGCCAATTGAAGCTATTTTAAAGCAAAATATCAACAAATCAAGATGTTATTTACAAAATATTATTTTATATGAATAAAACAAAATTCATTTTACATTTATATTCAATAAAAGACAAATATCAATCATAAATAAAGATGTCCAGAATAAAATAAAGTTGATATTGTTTTCATATTAACATTTTAAAATAAAGACTTATTGGTCATCTATATTCAGGTTTAAAACAAGTTGTATTCAATCGTCAATTGTATTTAATTTAGTTCTTCATTACATTGACTTCAGTATAACATCAGTATAACAATACTAATCATAATTACTACTACTACTACTACGACTACTACTACTACGCCTTGGGTATGTCAAACAGTCTTAAATAATAATGACAGTAACAATAATAATAATTATTATTAAAGTAACTTTGTTTTCTAATAATCAAGTGCCCACGTGTCATGATACTCTTTTCTCTAAAAATAAAAGTAATAAAATAAACTATTCCTTTTAATCATTCTACTTAAAGAAAATATCTAAGACAAATAAATTGAGACTAATCTAAAAATGAATTGTAAATTAAATAGAAATTTGATATAAAGATGAAGAACATGAAAACAAGACAATAGATAAGGAGACAGAGAGGAAAAAAAATGAATAAAGACATGAAGAGTTTTGATAACCATATCAATTGACTGATAAATAAATAAATGAAATTTAGAAAAATGGTGTTAATGATGATGAATACGATGAGTACAATGATGGATGATGGAAAAAAGTGATATACAATGAAAATGGTCAGTAATATAAAATTTATTTATTATTTACTTTTGTTTATACATTGGAGAGAGAGATATATATATAGAGGGAAATAAACTAGGGCTTGGTCCTTGTCTCATGTAGTTTTTCTCTCTCTGAATTTACATATTTATGTATGGATGGATATATTCTATTGTGAATGGAAATTAATTTGTCTATCTGGAGAATGATGAATAGATGGATTTCAAGTTGACAAAAGCAAAAAAAATATTGCACTGTATCATTGATTGTAAACAATATTACTAAACAAAAGAGATGAGAAAAAACACTTTCTTTTCATGGAATAATTCACATATATTTATCATCTCTCTCTCTCTCTATATATATATATATATATATATATATATATATATATATATGCGCATGACCAGATTACTGTATAAGGGATGCCATAATCCATGTAATTTGTACACGTGTAAGCGCTCATACCGTATTAAAAGTCGACTTAAGACAAAAGGATATACCTAAGGAAAAACAATAAAATAGCATATAATAATTGTGATTGTACATGTGCGCTTGATTTATGCTTGGCTGAAAGATAATTTTATAGTATCAATGATTTTA